TCTCAATCCTCAAATCGTAGTTTTATTGTTTTTCATCGACATTCACCACGTCGCAACTTCCAACACTCTCTCTAGAAAACCAAACACTCTAATCCTCGCGTCTCTTATTTCAGTTTTTACCTAACCGCTAGTGCGTAAGTATCGTGTCACGCAACTTCCGTTTAGTATCTGATAAAAGTTAATTTTGAATCAAGTTTCGAAAGTATACCGAGAATGCTGTGGTTTTTCTATACCACACACTCTGATTGGTCGAGAAAACTCATACCCTCTCGCCCAATCAGGTGCGAAACATGAACATTATTGTGCTGGTCACTCGTGTTTTCCTGCGCAGGTGCAGTTCGCTTGTTTCTTCTTCGAATTCTCATTGGCTCCTTTTGAAATTTTTTTTCTATCTGATGGGCCGTTACTTTAGTTTTGGTTTTGCTGTAACCGAATCGTGCGCTACTATTGTAGACAAACTGGAGTACCTAAAGTAAGGTGATAGCTTCTGGGATGCACGTGTTGTTCTCGTTCTTCTCCATTCGTCAGCATTTTTAAACGCGTGATCATCACGTGCAGCAGTGCTCGCTTTACCACTTTCTCTGAGTGACTGTGCACACTGGACATGCCCCAGTCTTTCAGCTAATATCAGTGGAGTTTCACCCAAGTCATTTCTCTGATCAATATCCAAGCCGTATTTCCTCATCTGTTCAAGAACCCTTTTTGTTATCACTTGATTTCCTGAAGCAGACGCATGATGCAGAGCTGTGTTTCCATGGATGTCTTTATCAAGCCACGGAATCTCTCTCTCCTCTATCATGACTGAAACTAACTTAATGCACTGTTTTGTACAGCAGTAACTAAAAACTGAGATGCCGGATTCGTCTTTATGCTCCACTCCGGCCCCATGTCGTAGCAAGATACGCCCCAACGACACCCTTAAGAATTCATTGTCAAGATCGCAGACAAGGTGTAGTGGCGTACGCATGCGTGAATCAAGTTTATTGACGTTGCATCCCACATTTGCTAGGAGACGTACTTGTTGTTGATTACGGCGAATTATCGCTTGATGAATCGTTGGCATGGCTGTAATTAAGAGCCCTAGTTACTGTTATCGAGAACACGAGAGTTAGTTGCTGAATGACCTGAAAATACAGAATTGTCGTTAATTGCTGTGACCATACTGCCTTGTCAAAAAATACTTAGCCTGAGGTATACCTTATTATAGGAAATTAACAATGCATGTAATTAACGCGAATTTCAAAAATTCGCGTTAATTTTATGTATCTTAAATTACCTCATTGTTAATTAAAATGACGTTAATTAAAAGCATCGTTATTTAAAGACACCTTTATTATAAGCAAAGCCACAATTCCTCTACGTCACCGTCACAGTCGGTTGACGCATCATCCTTTAATATTAAGTTCAAAATGTCCTTAGATTCATCAGTGTAGCGATCGTCTTCTCTGAGGGGATAACTCACTTCTTCAACTTTCTTGCGCAAAATGTCTATCGCATTTTTGTCATCTCATTTCATTTCTTATGTTTTTTACCGGAAATAGAGAGCAAATTTTGTTGNGGTCTTATCCACCCCGATTGATCTTGTCCACCCCGATTCTGTCTATTTTAAGGACGCAATGGACTTTGAAAACTCTGGTGATTTTGTCGACAAGCGACTCAACCGATTTTGTAAATTTATCCTGTTGTTTCTTTTGTTTACCTGTTTTTTGTTTGTTTTTTTTTTTGCCCGGTCTTTTGATGATCTTATCCACTCCGATTCTGGTTTTGACGACGCAATGGATTTTCAAAACTCTTCTGATTTTGTCGACAAGCGACTCAACCGATTTTGTCAATTTATCCTGCTGTTTGTTTTGTTTTCCTGTTTCTCTTTTCTTTTTTTTTTTTTTGCCCGTTCTTTTGATGATCTTGTCCACTCCGACTCTGTCCATTTTGATGATTCTATCGATTTTGAGTACTCTGGTGATTTTGTCGACTGACGACTCAGGCGATATAGTACAGTTTTCCTGTTTCTTTTGTTTTTATGTTTCTCCTTTTCTTGCCCGGTCTTTAGATGATCTTGTCCACCCCGATTCTGTCCATTTTAAGGACGCAATGGATTTTGAAAACTCTGCTCATTTTGTCGACAGGCGACTACCGATTTTGTAAATTTATCCTGCTGCTTGTTTTGTTTTTCTGTTTCTCTTTTTCTTTCCCGGTCTTTTGATGATCTCTTCCACTCCGATTCTGTCCATTTTGAGGACTCTGTGGATTTTCAGAACTGTGGTGACCTTGTCGACTCAGGACTCTACCGATTTTGTGAATTTATCGTGCGGTTCCTTTTAGCTTCCTGTATCTCTTTTTTGGCCAGTCTTTTGATGATGTTTTCCATTCCGATTCTGTCCATTTTGACGACGCTGTGGATTTTAAGAACTCTAGTGACTTTGTCGACTCACGACTCAGCCGATTTTGTACATTTTTCCTGTTTCTTTTGTTTTTCTGTGTCTCCTTTTCTTTCCCGGTCTTTTGATGATCTTGTCCACCCCGATTCTGGTTTTGACGTCGCAGTGGATTTTGAAAACTCTGAAGATTTTATCGACAGAAGAATCCAGCGATTTTGTACACTTTTACTGTTTTTTCTTTTAATTTCATTACCATTCTGCTTCTGGCTGGCCCAGGGAATTATTTGTGAGTCGGAAGACTATCTTATCCTTGTGGTCGAATAGTTGTTCGATGAATTACACGCATAAAGAAGGCAGCGGAGGAAGATCGAACTGCTTTGTCATATGAAAATTTTGCTTATTTACGTACTTCAGCCAATTGGATGTTATGTTTTCTAAATGCTTCTGAAAGAGTGTAGGAATCGCAATGGATCCGGTTTTTATCATTAAAGAAGTTGATCGGACATTCGGAAAACTTGATTTTACACGGTGGATGTAGCCAAAGATCATCCAGAGTTTAGACCAAGCGAACACAATTTAGAAAATGTCGAGGGTAATCCCACAAGTAAAGAAAGGCAGTTCTATAGCTGTCCCTTTATTTTATTAGATAATTGCTGGTAAGTTTTGAAGCCTTCTAGAACTGACTTCTTTAAAATAATGCAAGAAAACGACTCGCAAAATAGCTATTTCTGCCTGTTCCGTGATGCTACACTGTTAGAAACACCATGTTCTCTCGCCGTGATCGTTGTATCTCAAACCTCTGAAAAACTGGGAGAAAGGAAAATGTGACCCGAAATCGCCGTTTCTCGGGGTTGCGAAGATTTTATGTCGTGTTCAACGCGAGGATAGCAAAACTTGCAGTCGCTACAATTAGTAGACAGTGTAATGCAGCACTTACGCAGCGATGCTTTTCGATTTGAGATTGAAACAACTTGTTTGATTAAAGATCAGAAAAGCGCCAGCCTCGCCGTTCGAAATTATTCAGTTTGCAAAGTCAGGAGGGAACTCGCCTAGTTGCCCACATTCTCTTGTAGACTTTGTAATTCTAAGAAGGCTTGCATGGCGCTCGATATTTTAAAAGGTTTTAATGTAATTCCATGTGGGTAAAAAGCATTTCGATAGGATCATTTGTCTTGAATGTCGATGCAGAGGAGCCACTGAACTGGAAACTGAAACTAGGAAGCTGTCATTACAAATAAAAAGTCTGTTAATGTCACGTGACATGGTTCATAAATTGTCCTTGGATTGTATCTGCTGTAGTGAAGAAACTTTTTTACTTTTATTGCATCAGCAAATAGGCCACTATGAGTTTATCACTGACAGGGTCATACAAGGGAAAAAAAATACCATCTCAGCTTAATCTTAGTCTACTAAGAGTTCAGAACAAGTATGGAAATGCAGTTACTACTTCATTTTCTGTACGGTCAAAAAATAACTTTTACAACGTAACACTTACATCCCGTACGACCATCCTCACCAACAGCGTACCTAAACCTTCTTTTTACCACTAATCTATTAGAATGTTTTTTTTATCTTTTTCTTCTGAATCTGGTTTGAACAGAGTCTTCCAGCAGATTTCTCTTATGTTTTTCAGATCTTTGTGGTAGAAAATACTTTTATCTCTTTTCTTTGGGTACAGGTGAGTTTTGGCTACGTGGGCCCAGTTAGGTTTCCTCCTCCACCATTCAGAAGTGAACTTTCCCTTCAATGTTGAACGTTTTCGTGCAGCCCGCCTTTGCTGAATTTCTCGGTTCTTCATAACCTTGTCAATGTGGAGGCTCTCTTAACTCTCTTCCTTCCACCTCGGGTATGCACGCTGTCCTTGCTGAGATGGTATTGTTGACTTGGTGTCCTGGGCTCTCGTCCCCTCTATCGACTCTGTGGATTAGGTGTACGCTGATGATTTTGTCTGCTCTAACTCTGTCGATTTTGTGGGTTGTGATGATTTTGTCCACTCTAGTTTTGTCGATTTTGTGGACTCTGATGATATTTTCCACTGCGATTCTGTCGATTTTGTTCACTTTTCGAGTCTGTCGATTTTATGGACTCTGATGATATTTTCCACTGCGATTCTGTCGATTTTGTTCACTTTTCGCGTCTGTCGATTTTATGGACTCTGATGATATTTTCCACTGCGATTCTGTCGATTTTGTTCACTTTTCGTCAGACAGCTAAAATAC